GCGAACGACATTAATAATTCAACCGGTTCCGAGATATGTAATTGTCGCTCTAATTATCCCGATAACGGTGCAATTAAGTTTCACGTGTATAACGCGATTTATGTCAGCGACGCGCGGTGCATTCTCTCGCCTCGACACAATGAAGAGAGAATTCTTTGATGGGCAGGAAGACGAGAGAATTATTTCCTCAAGACCGGCAAGTGAAATCCGTTCGAAAATGCGTCAGAATCAAGGTGATTAGCATTTTACAGGCTGCTCATATCCCATGGAAACGTTTTATTGGCCTGTCGTGTGAAGGAGCCATTGCCTCGGCCGGGGCAGCAGTAGCAATAGTTGCACGTTATCTGCAATAGCTACTCTTCCCTCGTTATTTTCTCGTCTGTACGATATGGATATATTGCGCCGCGATATAACTCGAATTCCCGGGTTAAACTGAGCCGCGATTCGGTTACTCAACGCGTTCTCTATGCGCACTCTCTACGTCTCTATTCGGCAGTTAAATACACACACAACTTCGTCGATGCGTTGCGGAAATTCTACAGGCTACGTCATTAAACGAACCATAAGATATGCCAGATGCAGGATAGTAAAGATGATTATATTTTATAGTGCATTGTGCTATCTCGATGTGTAAAGCGTAGAAGTAAAATATTTTCTTCGCCTTTGGCCGATCGATGGTGGAACGAGAATATGGGAACCGCGTGACCGAGAAAAGTCGTGTAAGCGAAAAATTGCGAAAAATGTATTACGACGTTGCATTGTACCGTTTCGAACATCGTTATGTTCAATCCGTGGTAGATTTGCCGGTCGATAGGATTTCTCGTGCATTACCGCATTAGTGCACTCCATCGCGATAAGTAACAAGCTGTAAACTGCTTTCCCCGATGTGATGCAGGACTGCGCGATTTTGTTGCCTCGGTACAAACGATAATAGCGCCCGTATACACCGGTTACTTAACGTTCATTATAATTAACACGCTCGATGCCTTAACTTTCCCAGGAGGAAAGCGAGAATAATGTGCGTTTGTAATCGCCGACGCGTACGCATTTAATTTTATCATTTCCTCGAGTCACTAATGACCGAGGAATTTACAAAATTTAACGTACCTTGTAAGCAATTTTAATAGATCTCGACTCCTTTAACCCTTGCCACGTACCGTGGATTCCGTTAGCTTTTAATTAATATAATTATACCATCGAGCGACGCGTCATATTCATCCAGACAGAATGAAGAAGAAAAAAAAGAAAAAAAAAAAGAAAAAAAAGCCACTCGCGTGATTCTTCAAGAAGTATTTTGTAAGCGTTAAAATACAAATGGAGAAGAGGCAAAGATTGGGAAGAGAAAGAGCGGCTGTTACCAATTGTGGAAATATTTGGGCGAAAAGTGAGTCATGCAGGCGGAGTTTAATGAACGATCGCGCTGAACGGAAGCGTAGAACTCGGTGAAAGCAACGCAATCCTATTTCGCGAATTCCGGGTGTCTTTGAAGCGACGATCCGCCGCGATATTCGCGCTCCGTGTTCCACAACAATTAACCGATGGCAATTAAGACATCTAAATTAATTCGTTATAAACAAGCCAGATATTCCATAGCGAGCGGAGCCACGTAATTGCCCGGATTCTCACAAGCCGCGCAGAAGAGAGAGGATCCTCCGTGCACACCTACACCTACATCGACGCGCAGCGTTATACATAATGTATATGCATGTACACCTGTAATTTACCAACACGAGCATCGTCGCCCGGTAATAGCAACAATTACTTTATTTTACCATCTTTCCGGTTCTCAAACGAGCGCGCGAGCTCACCTAGGCAATTTCATTTCCTCGCCATTTTAAATATCCGCCTGTGTAGAAGAAACCCAATCGCGAAGAGACGACTTTCTTTTCTCGCCGCGGAACCGACCAACTATTTAGGCGCGAATGAAAAAGGTTCGCCTACTGCCTGACAGCGCGTACTGAAACGAAACTCGAATGTTGGCGAAACAATGCGCTGATTAGACGTGATCTTCGGTATTTATGTCTGCTTGTTGTAGCCTCCGCGTGTAACGATGGCCTTAATTTGATGATCAAGATCTGAGAAAATTATAAGTTACCGTTTCCTGGAACAGCTTCTCGTTGCCGTGTTATACGTCAAATTGAAATTGTAATTCAGTCGTATGGACGATTTCTTTATGCTTTGAGCAGGTACACCGATGCTTATTCTTTTCGTCCACTTGTGCTGACGAGTCCCTTGTGCTGAGCGATAAGGATCAGTAATTAAGAAAAGAAAATGAGACCATCTTGAAAAGAATTTCAGTGTAGGAAAGCAATACCACGGGCTGTGCACGAATGTACGAACGCCCATTGGCGTTTCATCGTCGCGAATAACACAATCCGAGAGGTTTTATATAATAATTTCATTATTGCACGAATCTCGCTAGCTTCCTGACACCGTGTTATTATGTTACGCGATAGTTTTTCACGTCCGTTTCCTCACTTTGGATACTATTATGGTTATGATCCGAATATAATAATAATGATATACATACGCTTTGAAAACTAGGCGTTCGACGAACACTACAATAGAATACGGTGTCGAGCATCGCGATGTTCGTGTTTTTATTTTGTTCTTTGTCGTTTACGTTGGCTTTTATCTTTTTTTCTTTTTTTTTTCCAACGTTTCACACGGCTCGAGTGCCAACGAAATCGTTAGAAACTCACTGTCGCAAACATACGTTTTGCGAAATTTTATGTAACAGTTTCGTCGTCTCGCGGCTGCCGCCAGTTTCCTGACGGGATAACGTTGCAATCCACGGTAATTGTCATTTTTCACGTCCGTTTCCTCGTTTGGAGTAACCATCCTGCTTATTCGCTGAGCGACATTTTAGCGTTAACGAGTGGTAGTTTAACGACACTCCTGGGACTTAATTGGCTACCGGTGGATTCATCATGCCGCTCGGCTACGTCTGTTTCTTTTGTTTCACAGGCGCATCAATGTTGCGCTTAACTTTGCAATCCTTTCTCATCGGTGATTAATGTCTTGCAAAAGACGCGCGGTGATAAACAATGACAAATCACTGCCGCCGAACTGCTCGGTAATTTAAAAATATTTCTCCTTCCCCTTGCAAGAAAAGGAAAAAGAAAATTTAAGAAAACGAAAGAATAAGAACTAGTGTGAAGTCGTAGTTGTGAAAGAACATTGACGCCAACAGATTGGAAGGTGTAGCGATCAACAGTGTGACGTTTAGCGAATCGATGATGTTGCTGGTGGACGCCTCGCGGTAAAAACGGCGGTTTGAAAAAAGAAGGAAAAAAGGAACGACGGCGAAGAGGAAAGGGTGGGGAGGGATACTCGAAAATTATTCCGATATGAAACTCATCGCGCGGCGTATCGCGTCAAAGGAGCCAATTTAAAACAGCCCTTTCCAAGATTATCAGCGCGTCGTTGCGGTGGGATTAATATATAAAAAAGACGAGTAACAACGAAGCTGGGGAAGGGTGAGTCGAGGAGAGAGA